ATACGACCGCGACAGTCCAGAGCAAACGGTAATCTTCTAAGAGATCCCAGCAGCACCTAATATGCTTATGTACCTTTCAGTCACGTCTTGCAAGACAGCTTTGATGACGTTTGCCCTACGGAGCCATATTTCATCGTGCAGAGAATCCGCTGGACCTCTTTTGAACCTTTTTTGCAGTATGGCTCCATTCAGACGGTGCAATTGAGTTGTGCAAGGCTGGTTAATCGCTTTGTTCTTATCCGGCAATTTTCAAAGAGGGACTCTCTGTCCGTCCCAAGAAAAGTTATCGAGGAACACCGTTAATCTCTGGCTGTTGCTATCCAGTTGTTTTTTGTCTCATACTAATGTGCCGCTATTTTCCATAGTCTTTTTTGTAAGAAAAAGTGTGCGAGTGTCAAAATGCATCTCTATGGCTTGTGAGATTTCCATGTTTTGAGGAGTAGAACTCGAAGCAGATAAACTTTTTACCGAAAACACTAAGTCACTTGGAAAAGCATGCTCAGCTCTCTTAAATGATGCGCATTTTGCCGCTGCTTGATCTCTCGTCACAGAAATGAAAGCGCAAATGAACTCTATGGATCTAAATATTAAACGCCTAATACCTCATCTATACATTGTCATTGTTGTTATTATAATACGAGTAAAACGAGTGAATTCTGTTCTTCCTTTGGGAGCGTTTTTTGCAGTCAAATTGAAATCAATGAGTAATCACAAACCTGAACTCATCATTAAGCTGTGGTTGTTCCCGGTTAATGCAGTACTGCTGCTGCAGCCTGTTTCTTGTCCTGATCAGCTTGCCCAGCTTTCTAGCCTGCTCGGTAAGCCGTTGGACAGTTTTCAATGGCAGTTCTGCTCGATTTAAAAGGCACTCCTCCACAGGTTCGTACTCGTCGTCCTAAAATCATGTAAAATCACCATGTGTGAACAATTTATTTGTTTCGGACACCTGAATTTTGAGCAAAACAAATTTTGCTGCCAGATGTTGAAACCACTGAAGTAGTGTAGGAAACAAATTAGATGTTTTTACGAAAGCAAAACGAAATAAAAGTATGTGTGCTGATTTCTACCCTCAATTTGTCTGCCTACAAAGTTTTTATAGTTATGAATGTAGTCATTGCGAATGAAGTTGGAAGTTTTGCAGCCAGGTAAACCCTTGCCGTCGCACACAGCGCAGTTGTTGAGCGGCGTCTTTTCAAGTCATAAAGCGAGTACAAGCTCACATTACACATCAAGAAGACGACGGAGCAGGTGACAAGGTGCACGACAATCCGTGCAACTTGACGTGCCATTTTCTACATTTTGTTGTTTGTAGATTATTTACTTTTGGAAACTGGGGAGGATTTGAGCTGACCTTTATAAAAGTTTATAGTAAATAAACATAATTTTGAAGTTACTGCGTTACTTCATATGGAATCATATCCCCACCCATCTCAGAAACATCCACATGATTCTATCGTCGAGTCGTCGACTGCTTGGACTGGCCCTAGATTGAGGAACGCTAAGAAGAAGGATGCGACAATTTTTACCCTATAAGCTACTCCAAGACGAAGGCGGTTGTCCATGTACGCGAGGCGTACGCGCGCTTATGAGCTTTTGTGATGAAAGATGCTCGAATACGCGAGTCGCAGCCGCGTCGCAGGGAAGAGACCGCCTTCGTCATGGAGGAGCTTGTACTTCCACCTTCAATTTTTTGCTCCAATAAACGCTCATAACTCCCTGTCCAGGAAGCTCCGCAGATAGGGTAACAGAATTGGAATCAACGTTTCATGCACTCTACAAAGATATACAGCACTTCTCAAAAGGTACTTCAAATG